TGCCTCTACCTTTCGATGAGAAAGAACATCTTCATCCTCATCATCATCACCATTGTTTGAATGGCATTACGGCGGCCATGAAGGGAGCTGGTGCTTTAGAAGCATGCATCCCTCTGCTCCACACGCTGCTCCGTGCTGCCATGGCAACCCTCATTACCTGCCGCTTGTGAGACCTCGAAAGAGGGAGAGCAGCAGAGGGAGGGAGGGAGGGAGGGAAGGAGAGAGAAGGAATGGTAGACTGGGAGAAAATATATAGAAGGGGAGAAAAAGGGTGGTGAAGGATTGCAAGAGGATAGAGGGAGTTTAGGGGGAAGGAGGAGTGTGTGTGGTGATGAAGGGGGAGTAGTAGGGGGAGGGGGGTGAGTGAGTTAGTTCATTGACTCTCTGACTGTTGCTTCTGTTAAAGGTGCCCAAGGATCAATGTTTTACACAGTAATGAGGAGAGAACTACCCCCCAACACAACACACACAGGCACGGACACACACACACCTCCCCCATGTTCACCTGTCGGCTCCAGTGAGTCCCACACAAAGCCAAAGCCAGGGCAACAGATTAGAGGCGTGCACACATCTCCTCAGCCCAGCTCATTGACTGGGAATATACTCACATGATGAGAGAGACTGTGGAGACATGAGACCAAAACAATATATAGAGAGAGAGGGAGAAATAGACACCAAATAATGAGGAACAAGACAGAGAGAATGTGGTGTGTGTGTGTATTTTGGATAACGTGAAAATCTGTCAGCCCCCACACGCCGTTCATTCTGCTTGTTGTCGAAATTCAAGTTTTACTAGGTGCAGCCTGTGTCACATGACCCGCTGCCCCACACACCTGCCCGAGAGGTTGGCTATCCGGTTGTCATGGCAGCAAGTTGTGCCTTATGGTGAGCGGAACGCTGGTAGGAACTAGAAGTGTTTTTTCCCCACCCTTTTTAGCGGGGACCAGTTTGTGTTATGTGTTGCTTTGTGCTGTAGGAGCTTGAGCTTGGAGCTCTGAACAGGATGAGTGTAAAGATAGGCAAAGGATCATGATAGATTCATTGTAAATTGTGAAGATGTAAATATGAAGAATTCTTAAACCACAAAATGAGAATGAAATTACTTCATTAAATGTAATGTTTTGAGCTATGCAACATTTTAATTACAATATGGTGTTGATAGCCTTATCAATTTTTTGTTAGCACGTGACTCCCTGACTACTACATACACTTCATATTTTCTACAGTGGAGAGTAGCCTACAAATAACAGAGTTTGGTTCTGCCACCTGTGGTCATTTTGAAGATCCTGAACAAAGACAAAAGACCTCACCTCTCTTACCTTAACTGTTTTTGAAATTATGTCAGTTTGTTGACCACACACTTTGGCAGGAGGGAGAATACAATGATTGAACAGCCAGTGAAAGAAACAACCAACCAAACAAAGCAATGAAAAAAAACACACTTCAAAGAGCCATTTCTTTCTAGCTATTTAAAGTGCATTTTGTGCACCACCTGCTGTTTTACACAGACTTTCTGTGTGTGTGTGTGTGTGTGTGTGTGTGTGTGTGTGTGTGTGTGTGTGTGTGCTCCTGGCAGGTATCCCCAACCTCAATTCCCCTCCCAATCTCCCTCCCCCTAGTACACACACAGCTCTCCACTGGCCTTGTGGGAGAATAAGGACGTTCCCAACAAGACTTCCAGAAATCCCAGCACCACTCTCTCTCTCTCTCTCTCTCTCTCTCTCCTAGCCTGTGTGTGTGTGCGCGCGTGTGTACATGCGTGTTGGCATACGTGCGGGCTTGCGTGTCTGCACAGAACTCCTACAATACCACCATCATCATCCACACTATCATGGCCGTAACTACATATGAGGACACCGAGGTCCTGACCCCGGTAATTTTATGTAATTTGAAAAAATAAATAATAATACAAATATATATGTTGTACACAATAAAGACAATATATTACTGGTCAACATCTAAGTATTGCTCACATGCGTTGATCGAAACTCAGAACGCTTATATTCTTGATCTGACTGAGTTATAATCGCACTGGCCTCTTTGCGAAGGAGTGGAATCATGAACAGTGGTTTGTTCATTATGTTCGCCTGAGTCCCCCAGATTTGCCTCCTTGATTTGCCTTTTAGCAGCACATTCACCACTCTCTCAAACTCTCTCTCCGCCCTCTCGCGGCACAGGCGGAGGGCCTGAGACGTGAAACGAACTACCCCAGCTCGCACTCGGCGCAAGTAACCTAGGCAACTAGAGAGGCAGAGACACTGATGACAGAATGTTTGCGAGATGCCGAACAAAAGCCATTTTAAAAACCGTCCGGAGACTCCTGCCGTGTCTACAGACATCCCCCAAACAAACAAAAACCGACTCTCTGAGAATGAGTGCACAACTGATAAATAGTCGCTTATAGATATGTCAGTCAGTCAAGTGGCTAGCTGCCGGCAGACTTCTATTGCAGTAATGTTGAAGGGCTCTGGCTAGTATTACTTAGCCAGCTAGAAGGGTGACGTAAGAAGCTGACGTTAAACGGAGCCTACCTCAGTAGGAGCAAAATATATGCTATTAAGTTCTCATAATAACGTTGCTTTGGAGAGAGTAGACTACTGAGACAGACAGTGATGTGGTGCTCAGTGGTGAGGTTGAGGCAGGCTGCAAAGCATGCAGGAGGAAGCAGAGACAGAGAGAGAGGAAGCAGAGACAGAGAGAGAGGACGCAAGCAGAGAGAAAGGTTAGTACCGTGGTTCCCAAACTTGGGGTCGGAGCCCCATGTGGGGTCCCCTGAGAAAATCTGTACTAATCTTATCAAACAAGTTAGGAACTTTAAAAAAAGGAGATATGTTTCAATATGAACATCTTCACATACCCTATAGGCCTACATTAAAATGCAAACAATACATTTCTAAAAAAATTGTTTCTGCACTTTTGCTATGTCAGTGTGAATCATGACTCATATTTCCCCCCTTTCAGGGCTATACCGTTACAATTGTATAGCTAATAGGCTACAGTGCCTTGCAAAAGTATTCATCCCCCTTGGCGTTTTTCTTATTTTGTTGCATTACAACCTGTATTTTAAATGGATTTTTATTTGGATTTCATGTAATGGACATACACAAAATAGTCCAAATTGGTGAAGTGGAATTAAAAAAATAACTTGTTTCAAAAAAGTCAAAAAATAAATAACAAAAAAGTGGTGCGTGCATATGTATTCACCCCCTTTGCTATGAAGCCCCTAAATAAGATCTGGTGCAACCAATTACCTTCAGAAGTCAAATAATTAGTTAAATAAAGTCCACCTGTGTGCAATCTAAGTGTCACATGATCTGTCACATGATCTCAGTACATATACACCTGTTCTGAAAGGCCCCAGAGTCTGCAACACCACTAAGCAAGGGGCACCACCAAACAAGCGACACCATGAAGACCAAGGAGCTCTCCAAACAGGTCAGGGACAAAGTTGTGGAGAAGTACAGATCAGGTTTGGGTTATAAAAAAATATCAGAAACTTTGAACATCCCACGGAGCACCATTAAATCCATTATTAAAAAATTGAAAGAATATGGCACCACAACAAACCTGCCAAGAGAGGGCCGCCCACCAAAACTCACGGACCAGGCAAGGAGGGCATTAATCAGAAAGGCAACAAAGAGACCAAAGATAACCCTGAAGGAGCTGCAAAGCTCCACAGCGGAGATTGGAGTATCTGTCCATAGGACCACTTTAAGCCATACACTCCACAGAGCTGGGCTTTATGGAAGAGTGGCTAGAAAAAAGCCATTGCTTAAAGAAAAAAATAAGCAAACACGTTTGGTGTTCGCCAAAAGGCATGTGGGAGACTCCTCAAACATATAGAAGAAGGTACTCTGGTCAGATGAGACTAAAATTGAGCTTTTTGGCCATCAAGGAAAACGCTATGTCTGGCGCAAACCCAACACCTCTCATCACCCCGAGAACACCATCCCCACAGTGAAGCATGATGGTGGCAGCATTATGCTGTGGGTATGTTTTTCATCTGCAGGGACTGGGAAACTGGTCAGAATTGAAGGAATGATGGATGGAGCTAAATACAGGGAAATTCTTGAGGGAAACCTGTTTCACTCTTCCAGAGATTTGACACTGGGACGGGGGTTCACCTTCCAGCAGGACAATGACCCTACGCATACTGCTAAAGCAACACTTGAGTGGTTTAAGGGGAAACATTTAAATGTCTTGGAATGGCCTAGTCAAAGCCCAGACCTCAATCCAATTGGGGGGGGGGGGGGGGGGGTTGAATAGTTATGCACGCTCAAGTTTCTGTTTTCTTCTCTTATTTCTTGTTTGTTTCACAACAAAAAATATTTTGCATCTTCAAAGTGGTAGGCATGTTGTGTAAATCAAATGATACAACCCCCCAAAAATCCATTTTCATTCCAGGTTGTAAGGCAACAAAATAGGAAAAATGCCAAGGGGGGTGAATACTTTCGCAAACCACTGTATGTGTTTGTAGATCAACTGAGGTGAATTAACCTACAGCAGCCAAGGTGATAATGACTCGGGTAATCTTTGCTTGTTTTTGCTGTTCTCCAAATACCATTTTAAATGGTTGTATTGTATAGAAATGCCTTCTGGACCTTACTAAAACTCAAACCCTGGTTACAGCCCTGCTCACTATTAATGGTCTTCATGAAAATGATCAGTAATTTTACAGGCTTTTACACAGAGTCCTGTTAGTAGGAGATTTTATTGTTTTGTGAAAGAAAATGAGGGTTATCTAAACTAAAGACTATGATTTTAAGAGACCATTTCATTTGTTTACCTATTGGGGGCTCTTAGGTTATGTGTTGGCGTAATGTGGCAGTGCTGCTTTACATAATATGGTATTGTGTGTGTGTGTGTGTGTGTGTGAGTGTGTGTGTGTTTCTTTGTCTGTGTGTAGGCTTGGTGCCTTGTGCTCTAGGCCTCATCCCAATGATACAGCCTGCTAAAGTACCACTCCTCCTCTCCTCCTCTCCTCTCCTCCTCTTCTGCAGTGTGTGGACGGGGGCTCTGGGTCAGAGTCCTCTCTGAAGAGGGTGGCAGTGGTGGAGGACTTCTTTGACATCATCTATGCCATGCATGTAGAGATCAGCGTCGACCCCGGCAAAACACCCAAACACGCCGGACAGAAGAAGACCTACAAAGCGGTGAAAATACACTCTTTATCTCTCTACCTCTCTATCACACACACCCTCTTTACCACTGTCTCTCACTCGTTCCTTTCACCCAATCTTTCTCTCTACCTGTATCTCAATACCTTTTACTTTATATTTCTCTCCATCTGTCGCACTCTTCCCCTTTACTCAATCTTTCTCTTCTATCACACAGTCACCCTGTGTGTCTACAACTGTATCTCTCTATCTTAGCCTGCTGCCTCTCTCTCTCCCTTGGCTCTGTTTCTATCGGACACTCTTTTTCAATCGCCTGTCTTTATGATTATTTGGCAATATATGTTCTGTTCTCTGTTCCTCTTTCGGTCTTTAGTATTCATTCCTGTTTCGTGACCTGTTTCTCTCTCTCTCCGTCCATCTGGTTTTTGGTGTTCAGACACAATCAATAACACTAACAATCACTTTCTCAGAATCCCATTGAAATGAATGGGATAGTTTAAATAGATTTGTAAAATACTTCTAGACCATCCTTTGAATATTTTCTTACAAGACAGCAGGCGTCACCATTGACCCGGAACATTCATGTTGGCAATTATGTATTTTTCTCTTTAGTTCATTCACTGAACCGCAGTTTTCTGTATTTCAGATAAACTAAAATCTTTCTATTCATTTCCAGTCAAAAACTGAAAAAAACGCAATCTCTGTGACATGTACCGCCTCCGTAACTTTTTTTTACCTCACTTCATTACAAGAAAATGCTGCAACTTCCCAAGATTTTTTAATTTTGTGTGTGTGAAAGAAAACTTTTCTCACTTTAGATTAAAGGGGTCTGGCAAGGATATTAGATTCCAGTGCAAAGCTGACCTTGTGGTCGTTGGAAGAAGGTATTTCTCTCTCTCCCCCTGACAACTATTCAGCAATTCTCTCTTTGAGCATCGCCACAGTCGCTGAAGGCCAGATGTCTAGTTATATTTAGATTAAGGGTGATGACCGCAGTGCAAAGCACACACCTGGGCAACATTGTCCATCGTTCCTTCCTAGCTTCATTTCAAATGGGGAGATTTCACACGTCTGCCATTGGAAAATGTGCTTCCGCCCTGTACTAAAGTAGATGGGACAAAACCTTACATTTGCCCAGTGTGTTGTATTGGGATACTTTGCCATCTCAATTGGTGATACTGCCTTCTTCTGGTTGAACATGGTAACTGACTCTTCACCCCAGTACTGTACAGAACATGTACTTTAAATTTTTAGGATTTATTTTCATTTCTATTAGATAAGAATGAAACGAATGAATGAAATGAAGAATATCAGTATAAAATGAGCAGTGAGTAAACAGAGCTGTGACTTTGTAATGAACAGAATACTTCCAATTTATTTCACTGCCTATTTACTGTATTTATGCTCTGCACACTGCCATGGCTTCCAGGGTACTGTGCCACACAGTGGGCCATGAAATGTTTATTACACACACACACACACACACACACACACACATTCCACACTGCAGGACACATATGACTGGTTGTCCCTGTCCTTCGCTGGCAGTGCTGCTCAGCCAACACGCTGCCTACTTCTCCTCTCTTTATGGTTCTCCAGACCAGATAGACAGAGCTGCATTGGTGGCCCAGGGCAGACCCACCGCCACAGGCCCTTTCCAGACCCACGGTCTCACTCTGTAGGCTACATGGCTCTCTTTCTGAGATTCTATTGGGACTGGGAGGACAATGGTGGTGGTAGCTAGCCTGTCGTCACACACAGAGAGTCAACCCCTCTGGGGGGAGTCGCTGCCTCGTCCCCCAACCCCCTCCCATGGCCGTAACTACATATGAGGCCGCAGAGGTCCAGACCGCGGTAATTTTTTCTAATTTGAAAAATAAATACATAAATATATGTTGAACACAATAAAGAAAATCAATTAAGGGTCAACATCGAAATATTTCTCCCAGCATTGATCAAAGCTCAGAACGCTTATATTCTTGATCTGACTGAGTTCTAATCTCGCCTGCCTCTTTGCGAACGAGTGGAATCATGACCAGTGGTTTGTTCGTTATGTTCGCCTGCGTCCCCCGGATTTGCTTCCTGGATTTGCCATTTAGCAGCACATTCACCACTCTCTCAAACTCTCTCTCCGCCCTCTCGCGGCACAGGTGGAGGGCTTGAGACGTGAAACAAACTACTCCAGCTCGCACTCGGCTCAAGTAACCTAGGCAACTAGAGAGGCAGAGACGCTGATGACTGTGTTTGCGAGATGCCAGACAAAAGGCAATTTTAAAACCGTCCCGCGACTCCTGCCGTGTCTACATACATCCCCCAAACAAACAAATAATGACTCTCTGTGTCATGAGCCTCTCACTCCACCGGGTTACCACCTTAATTTTCTTCCACTCTGCTCACCACTCTCTCTACTCAGCCTAACTAGCTCCACCTGTCCCTGCTCTGCTCTGCTCTAATTACTCTGCCAGCTGCGCTGCATTACCCACTACCTCTCCCAGTATTTAAGGCCCTGTCTTTCAGCTCTCCGGTGTCAGATCGTCTGCAAAGCTCACACCCGGAACCTGTTTGCTCGCGCTTCTGGCTCACCCTGGTTTTGTGACCCCGGACCTGCCTGATTTTTGGATACTCTTCTGCCCCAGGAGATCCAGACCTGCTTCTGCCATAACGACTCCTGACTACTCTTCAATCCCGGTAACTCTGACCAGCCTTCTGCCTTGCTACTACGTATTTTGGATTTCCCTTGAACTGTACTGCTGCCTTGTTTCATTCCGCCCTGTTGTGTCTGTGTCTCCCCCCCCCAGGACTTCTGGACCACCCACCACCGGCTTCATAGGACGCATCGCTGCCACTGGGGGGGGCACAGACCCAGCACATTGGACGGGATCCCTGTTACCCCTGGAGCCTTCATTCACTCCCTACTTCCCTTTTCCCTTAAGTTTTAATAAACTTTCTGGTGTGATGCAATTGTGGTCCTCTGGTCGTCTGTCTGAACCGTGACAGTACGATCTGACCATTATGGACTCAGCGCACACTTTCCCCGACATGGAAACCGATGAGCATGAGCAGCAGTTCCAGCAGCAGCAACAACAACTCGCCATGATCATTCAACTCCTCACCAACCTTACCCCAGCCAGTCTGCCCACCAGCCCTGCCCCCGAGTTACCTGCCCCGGTCATTGCAGCCGCTGCTCCGGAACCCAAGATTGGAAACCCCGAGCGGTTCAACGGCGACTCAACCCAGGTCCGGCCATTCCTGACTAGCTGCCGACTTCAGTTCTCCTTGCAGCCAAGGACCTTCGCCACGGAGGGGGCTAAAGTTGGGTATGCCATCACTCACCTGACGGGCCGAGCTCGACTCTGGGGAACAGCAGAGTTCGAACGTCAAACCCCCGCATGTGCAACCTTCGACCTGTTTGCTGAGGAGATGCTGAAGGTGTTTGACCTGGATTCACCAACCGCAGAGGCGTCTCGTGAACTGTTCAGTATTCGACAAGGCAGACGTACAGTCGCAGACCATTCCATCGACTTCCGAACCCTGGCTAGACGAAGTTCTTGGAACACACCATCGTTGGTGGACGCGTTCTTCCATAGTTTGGGCTGACTATATCAAGGACGAGTTGGTCTCCCATGAACTGCCTTCCACTCTTGATGAAGCCATCGCACTGACTGTCAGGATCGACAGAAGGATACAGACCCGTCGTCGTGAGAGGGGGGCGCCAAGGTCCACCTACTACCGGCATTCGGAGAGATCCGACTGGGCTCCTGTCATCTACTGCCACTCACCCAGGTCAGTTTGATCAGTCTGAGCCTATGGAGATTGGGCGAGCCTCTCTCACTCCTGCAGAGCGCCAGCGCCGCTTCACCTCAAACCTCTGCCTCTATTGTGGAGGTGATGGACATCGTGTGGTAACCTGCCCTTTAAAGGGCCGAAGCTCACCGGGCATAGGGTGAGTCCGGTTGAGTTCAATGACCATCCAGTCCTCCGACCGCAAACCCCTGCTGCAAGTTCACCTCCGCCTCTCTGACTCACTCACACCCTGGCTGCTCTGGTGGATCTGGCGCCGAAGCCAACATAATGGACATCAAGCTGGCACGCCAACTGGGACTGGAGAACCTCCGTTTGACACCTCCTATTTCCTGCCCGGGCACTGGACGGACACTTACTCGGATCGGTCACTCATGTCACGGCCCCGGTCCTCGATGGGTCTGTCCGGAAACCATCAAGAAACTATCCAGTTTCACCTGCTCCCCTCTCCAGGCCAACCCCTCATCCTGGGTTACCCATGGCTCCGCCGGCACAACCCTCAGCTCGACTGGGTGACCGGGGGTGATCAGGGAGTGGGGAGAAGGACTGCCACCGAACCTGCCTGCTTGCTGCCGCACTACCCCCCTCGGCCAGTACCTACTAACTCCGCTCCTGACCTCTCCAATGTCCCAGAATGCTACCATGGTCTCAGAGAGGTGTTTAACAAAGCTAGAGCCCACATCTCTGCCCCCTCACCGACCGTACGACTGTGCCATCGACCTCCTCCCTGGAACAGCCCCTCCAAAGGGTCGTCTTTATTCATTGTCTGCTCCTGAAGAAAGTCCATGGAGGACTACATCAATGGCTCCTCTGTCCGCAGGATTAATCCGTTCATCTTCATCTCCTGCTGGTGCTGGCTTCTTCTTTGTGGGGAAGAAGGACGGATCTCTTCGCCCCTGCATCGACTACGGGGACTCAACGACATCACAGTGAAAAAAACCGTTACCCTCTGCCTCTGCTCACCTCTGCTTTTGGTTGCTCCAGGGAGCCACTGTTTTTACCAAGTTGGATCTCAGAAACGCTTACCACCTAGTGCGGATCCGGGAGGGAGATGAATGGAAAACCGCATTCAATACACCAACAGGCCACTACGAGTATCTGGTTATGCCTTTTGGCCTCACCATGCTCCTGCTGTGTTCCAGGCTCTAGTGAATGATGTACTGCGGGACATGTTAAACAAGTTTGTCTTCGTTTACCTGGATGACATCCTAATCTAACTCCAAAACCTGTCTGAACACACCCGCCATGTCCAGCAAGTCCTTCCATCGTCTTCTGGAGAATTCCCTCTACGCCAAGGCAGAGAAATGTGAGTTTCACGTCAAGACAGTGGCCTTCCTGGGGTACATAGTGGCAGAGGGAAGTATCCAAATGGATCCTGCCAAAGTATCAGCAGTCACTTCATGGCCAGTTCCGGAGAACAGAAAGAAGCTGCAACAGTTTCTGGGGTTTGCTAACTTCTACAGAAAGTTTATCCGGAACTACAGTACCGTTGCTGCCCCTCTCACTGCTCTAACCCAGCACCAAGCAACCCTTCACCTGGACCCCAGCAGCCGACAAAGCCTTCAGTACCCTCAAGGTGAGGTTCACCTCCGCTCCCATCCTCCAGATGCCTGATGTGGGACCGGCAATTCATTGTGGAGGTGGACGCCTCGGATGTGGGAGTTGGTGCTGTGAATTTCTCAGTGGGCTGCGGAGGATAGGAAGCTCCATCCCTGTGCCTTTTTCTCACGTCGGTTGTCCCCCTCTGAGTGCAATTACGACATAGGGAACCGTGAGCTGCTGGCTGTGAAGCTTGCCTTGGAGGAGTGGCGTCACTGGCTGGAGGGGTCCACCATTCCATTCTCGTTTGGACCGATCATAAGAACTTGGAGTACATCCGCACGGCCAAACGGTTGAACTCCAGGCAGTCCCGCTGGGCCCTGTTCTTCACCAGGTTTTAATTTCACTCTGTCATACCGGCCTGGATCACGCAACACCAAGCCAGACGCCCTCTCCCGTCAATTCCAGAAGGATGACACCCCCTCCAAGGACCCTGTGTCGATTCTGCCAAGTCCCTGCATCGTTGCAGCTCTGACCTGGGCTGTTGAGGAACAGGTGCTGGAGGCTCTCCGTAACCAGCCAGGTCCCAGCACTTGCCCAGCTGACCGCCTTTTTGTCCCCGAAGACCTGAGGTCCCAGGTCGTTCAGTGGGGACATGACTCCCGCCTAGCTTGTCACCCTGGCTCCACCCCGCACTTACAACCTGCTCGCCCAGAGGTTCTGGTGGCCCTCTCTGAGAAGGGATGTACGGGAATTCGTCCAAGCCTGCCCCATCTGCAACCAACACAAGTCGTCCTGCCAGCCCCCCAGCCGGATTGCTGCAGCCCCTGCCTGTGCCCAGACGTCCCTGGTCTCACATCGCCCTTGACTTTGTCACGGGGCTGCCCCCTTCAAGTGGCATGACCGTCATTCTCACCATAGTTGACCGTTTCACAGCAAGATGGCACACTTCATTCCCCTCCCCAAGCTCCCAACCGCCAAGGAGACCGCCCAGGTGGTCCTGGAACACGTCTTCCGGATCCACGGACTGCCTAAGGATGTAGTTTCTGACCGTGGTCCACAATTCTCCCTCCGCTTTTTGGAAGGAGTTCTGTCACCTGCTGGGAGCCACAGTCAGTCTGACTTCCGGATTCCATCCCCAATCCAATGGGGCAGTCAGAGCGGGTTAATCAGGAGCTCGAGAAGGCACTGCGATGCATGACTTCACGCAACCCCCACTCCTGGTCGCAGCAATTGACATGGGTGGAGTACGCACACAATTCTCTGACCTGCTCTGCCATCGGTATGTCCCCTTTCCAATGTGTTTATGGATACCAGCCTCCTCTATTTGCCAGCCAGGAAGAGGAGGTTACTTGCCCATCTGCACTTGCTTTTGCCCGTCGATGTCGCCGCACCTGGTCACAAGCCCGAGCCACACTCCTCAGATCCGTTGCCAGCTACACTACCGGGGCCAACCGTCGGAGAATTCCTGCTCCCACCTACCATGTTGGTCAAAGGGTGTGGTTGTCATTGAAGAACCTGCCACTCAGGGTGGAGTCGCAGAAGCTGGCACCCTCGGTTCATTGGCCCATTCCCTATCATAAGAGTGATTAGCCCAACTGCTGTCCGGCTCCAACTGCCTAATTCCCTGAGGGTGCACCCCACTTTCCATGTGTCTAAGATTAAGCCCATCCATGAGAGTCCGCTGGTCCCTGCTGCGCCTTGTCCTCCTCCTCCACGGCTCGTCGATGGTGGTCTGGTTTACACCGTCCGCCGCCTGCTTCGGTCCAGACGGAGGGGTAGGGGTCTCCAGTACCTCATTGACTGGGAGGGCTATGGACCTGAGGAAAGGACCTGGGTGCCAGCTAGTCGGATTGTGGATAGGACTCTCATCACCGCTTTCCCACCAACGGCATCCTGATCAAACCTGCAATCCGTAGGGGCCGCCCCAGAGGGGTCCCTAAACCGTCCCTGCCCGCTCGGCTTCCTGTCCTGTGCCTGATCCTGTCTCGGGACCTGTCCCATCTCCCGACCACGGCCCTCCGGCTTCCTCCGAGGATGAGGACGTTCACTCGGACCGTTCGGAGGAGTTCTAGCCCTCTTCCGGCTCCCCTCCTCCCGCCCGGCGTGGTGTTGCTCTTGGGACTTCTGGGGCCGTCCCTTGGGGGGGGGGTTCTGTCATGAGCCTCTCACTCCACCGGGTTACCACCTTAATTTTCTTCCACTCTGCTCACCACTCTCTCTACTCAGCCTAACTAGCTCCACCTGTCCCTGCTCTGCTCTGCTCTAATTACTCTGCCAGCTGCGCTGCATTACCCACTACCTCTCCCAGTATTTAAGGCCCTGTCTTTCAGCTCTCCGGTGTCAGATCGTCTGCAAAGCTCACACCCGGAACCTGTTTACTCGCGCTTCTGGCTCACCCTGGTTTTTGTGACCCCGGACCTGCCTGATTTTTGGATACTCTTCTGCCCCAGGAGATCCAGACCTGCTTCTGCCATAACGACTCCTGACTACTCTTCAATCCCGGTAACTCTGACCAGCCTTCTGCCTTGCTACTACGTATTTTGGATTTCCCTTGAACTGTACTGCTGCCTTGTTTCATTCCGCCCTGTTGTGTCTGTGTCTCCCCCCCCCAGGACTTCTGGACCACCCACCACCGGCTTCATAGGACGCATCGCTGCCACTGGGGGGGGCACAGACCCAGCACATTGGACGGGATCCCTGTTACCCCTGGAGCCTTCATTCACTCCCTACTTCCCTTTTCCCTTAAGTTTTAATAAACTTTCTGGTGTGACGCAATTGTGGTCCTCTGGTCGTCTGTCTGAACCGTGACACTCTGAGAATGAGTGCACCACAGGAGGCTGCTGAGGAGAGGACGGCTCATAATAATGGCCAGAACGGAGGGAATAGAATGGCATCAAACACATGGAAACCATTTATTTGATACCATTCCACTAATTCCGCTCCAGCCATTACCACGAGCCCATCCTCCCCAATTAAGGTGCTACCAACCTCCTGTGGAGTGCACAACTGGTAAATAGTCGCTTATAGATATGTCAGTCAGTCAGGCAGGCTGGAATGCATGCAGGAGGAAGCAGAGGCAGAGAGAGAGGAAGCAAGCAGAGAGAGAGGTTAGTACAGTGGTTCCCAAACTTGGGGTCGGAGCCCCATGTGGGGTCCCCTGAGAAAATGTGTACTCATATTATCAAACAAGTTAGGAAGATATGTTTCATTATGAATATCTCCACATGGCCTATCTTCCCTATAGGCCTGCATTAAAATGCAATCAAAATGCAAACAATACAGTTCTAAATATGTTGTTTAGTCAATGATGCTATGTCAGTGTGAATCATGACTCATATTTCCCCCCTTTCAGGGCTATAACATTACAATTTGTAGATCAACTGAGGTGAATTAACCTACAGCAGCCAAGGTGATCATGGCTGCGGTCATTTTGGCTTGTTTATGCTGTTCTCCAAATAGCATTTGAAAGTGTTTTTATTGTATAGAATGTCAGTAAATGAGCTTCAACTTTCAGTGAGGTCCCCTTTTCATACCTCACTAAAACTCAAACCCCTGCCCCCTCCTTCCCTCTAGATCCCCCTCACGCCCCTCCTCCCCTCCCTCATGTCACCACCAGCACCTCTCTGGCCAGGATGTTTGTTAGAGCCTGAAGGAGGGAGAGGCGAGCTTGTGTTTTTTCTCCTGCTCCCAACCCCAGCCTGCCACAGAGGGCGGAGTGATAGAGGGAGGCCAGTTTGAGAGAGAAGGGGAGAGGGGGAGGAAAGGATGACTGCAGGAACAGCGTGAAAAAAGGAAAGATCGGAAGTTGACAGCAAGGGCGGGAGACATAGGGAAATACATTGAAAGTTCTCCCAGAGATAATCTGGTGTCACCAGGCCACCTTGCCAAATGACAAAGAGACTGTGCAAACTGTCACCAAAGGCTGTGACTGACATTTTTCTCCGTTTTATTCTTAGAGACTAGACCGCACCCCGCTCTCCTCGTTACACGCATGGAAGCACACACACACACACACACAGACACAGACACACAGACACACACACAAACACACACACAAGGAGATAGAGATGCGGAAGTGGAGTGGAAGTCCCTGACATGTATCTTGGCACTCAGGGATAGGTCATCAGTCACCCCCAGTGGTAACGGGCTGAGATAATGTTGCCTTTGTGTGTGGGGTGAAGGGGGAAGATATTACATCTCTCCCAAGAACCTCAATGTTACCCTTTCCCTGCTCAGACAATGCACACAGACACACACGCACGCACACACTCACGCACACACAAACACACACACACACACACACACACACACACACACACACACACACATACAGTAATCTATGTGGCATTATGTTCTAGCATTATTGAAACAGGTCTAATTTCCCCTCTTTTCCTCTTATCCTATTATTTTCTCCCATTTCACTATTAGAAGCATGCATAGCAGCATCTTTATCAGCCATGGCTCTGGTAGTGATATAATTATTTATCTCACTCTCCCCCTCTCTCGCTGTCTCTCTCTCTCCCCCTTCTCTCTCGCTCCCCCCCCCTCCTCTCTCTCTCTCTCTCTCTCTCTCTCTCTCTCTCTCTCTCTCTCTCTCTCTCTCTCTCTCTCTCTCTCTGATGGGCAGATTGCGGAGACGTATGCCTTCCTGCCCAGGGAGGCAGTAACCCGTTTCCTGATGAGCTGTGGTGAGTGTCAGAAGAGGATGCACATCAGCCCTGGCGGCGCAGAGTTCAAAGGTAAACAACCTCTCTGTCTCTCCCTGGACCACTGACTAGTGGCTCCGCCAGGCTCTGTTCAGGGCTATTTGGTAAAGCTTCCGCAGTAGGCCTACATTACTACTTACGTCTGTACTGTCTGTAAGACAGCGTATGCATACTGCAGACTCTTAGAGCATGGATGTAGATGGACAGGGATTTTCATACGAGTTGTAAAAAGAACAGTTTTGAGCGCTGCTTGCTTTGCCCCCTCCTCCATTCGTCCTCCTCCTGCTGCCACCCTAAAGGCGCCCCATTCCCCCATCTCCCAACCCCCTCCATCAGATACCCCCCCCCAGTTCTCCCCAGTCCTATTAAACTAATAGTCATTGGAGTGTCTTGCCTCCTTCCTAACACACTGCAATTAGCCCAATTAGGGGGCTTTTAACAAAGGAAGAGAGAAGAGAGAGAGAGGTGAGAGAGAGAGAGAGATCGAGAGAGATCGGAGAGAGAGAGGAGAGAGAGAGAGAGAGAGATATAGAGAAGAGAGCGATAGCGAGAGAGAGAGAGAGAAGAGAGAGAGATAGAGAGGAGCAGCGGAGCTCGCTATGCGAGAGAGAGGATCATCTCCGCGAGCCGGAGAGATTTCTCTCTCGCTCTCGATCGGCGAGAGGAGAGAAGAGATTCGGAGAGACTGAATGCGGTTAAGACGGAAATGGAAAGAAATCTGGAGTAGGACAGAAAGATGGGGTGGAAATAATAAGGAAATGGTGGGGAGAGAAATAAATGGAGTGAAATCTTCAATGGCTGTCCTGCTATTTTATACATATTTTATTCCCTCTATATTCAGGGTCCCATATTGACAGAGGGGCTGTCATGTACCTTCACATATGGAAGGTACATCCATATTCCCACAAGAACAGAACAATAGTTATCCTCACCAAACCCCCTCCTCTGTCTTCATCTCCATCCCATAAACACACAACGCAGCAAGAGAAGTGCTCCCAGGCCCGATCTGTCTGTCACAGTGTTGTGTCAATGCTGAGCGGCTAACAGTGGGCGTCGCTCATAAAGAGAGCAGCTAATTGGCTTCCTTCCCCATGGGGGTCCACCCCTTCCCACCTCGACCCCCCATCCCTGTAACCCCTCCAATCCACCACCCCCCTCCTCTCCGCCTAAGCCACTCGCGCAAAAGTTCAGCGCTGAATTATTGAATGCAATTCATTACTTTATGCAGGGGCTCTTTTAAATTGACATCAGGCAGTCTTTCATCCTTCGTCTCTTCAACCTTCATCATAACATATTGGTTAGGCAGTAGGAACAGGTGCAAAGGAGGTGTAGGTTAGGGCCCATATTCATAAAGCCCTCAGAGTAGGAGTGCTGATCTATGATCAGTTTTTTGCCTTTTAGATCCTGATGAATAAGATTACATGGACAGGAGGGACCTGATCCTAGATCAGCACTAGATCTGAGAAGCTTTATTAATACGAGCCTAGGTCGCTGGTCCTGTGCTGATTTCCTCCGTTCTCATTTTGAACTCAGTTTCTCAGCTGACAAGTCTAGTCTCTGTCGTTTCATTTATCTGCTGAGCTACTAAGGGACAATGTTCTGGAGTCTGGAGTCCTGAAGGGGGGAAATACAAGGCAGACAATCTATACCTCCCGAGTGGTGCAGTGGTCTAAGGCACTGCATCTCAGTGCTTGAGGCGTCACTACAGACCCCCTGGTTCGATTCCAGGCTGTATCACAACCGGCCGTGATTGAGAGTCCAACATCGGCCCAGCGTCGTCAGGGTTTGGCCGGTGTAGGCCGTCATTGTAAATAAGAATTTGTTCTTAACTGACTTGCCTAGTTAAATAAAGGTAAAAATAAATAAATAAATAAATAGACAGGAGCGCAATCGATTACTGATTGATAGAGTGAGTGTACTGTAGGTGATAGGTTGTTTGATAGCTCTGATTGATTAGAGTCGATATGATCCTTGGAGAGGAAGACCCTGTACGTCATGTGATGAGGAAGACGGACCATTGCTTGCACTTGAAGTATAATGTCAATGCAATACAAGAGAGGATGTATACCAGTTCAGTTATAAAGAGTTTGCAGTTATTTTGTTATATGCTATATCATATATTATATTAGAGAAGTCTTTAAAAATGGTATAAATAAGTTCAAATGCACAAGCATCTTAATGTAGGATGTCCACTTAGTGGTTTAATGCACCCATTACATATACTGTAAATGTCCAAACACATTAAGGCAATTACATTACATATAAAACGAAAGATAAAACAGTACATCATATAACATTAATACACCACTACATATCTACAATACAAAATCTATAATACCATCATACAACAATATTACAATGTACGTGTGTGTAGAGTGCGTGTGCTAGCGTGCGTATCCGTGTGTGTGTCTCTTCACAATCCACGTTGTTCCATAAGGTGTAGTATGATCTGTTTTTTTTAAATCTGATTTTACTGCTTACATTAGTTACTTGATGTGGAATAGAGTTCCATGTAGTCATGGCTCTGTGTAGTACTGTGAATTTCCCGGAGTCTGTTCTGGACTTGGGGACTGTGAGGAGACCCCTTGTGGCATGTCTTATGGGGTATGCATGGGTGTCTGAGCTGTGTGCTAGTTGTTTGAACATGTCAATACCTCTCACAAAGACAAGTAATGATGCAGTCAATCTCTCCTCTACTTTGAGCCAGGAGAGATTGACATGCATGTCATTGATGTTAACTCTCCGTGCTGCCAGCCGTGCTGCTCTGTTCTGGGCCAACTAATTTGCCTATGTCCCTCTTTGTGGCACTTGACCATATGACTGAGCAGTAGTCCAGATATGACAGAACTAGGGCCTGTAGGACTTGTTTTGTTGATAGCAATGTCAAAAAAGCAGAGCAACGCTTTATTACGGACAGACCTCTCCCCATTTTAGCTACCGTTGCATCAATATGTTTGACCATGACAGTTTACAATCCAGGGTTACACCAAGCAGTTTAGTCTCCTCAACTTGCAGTTTAGTCTCCTCAACTTGCTCAACTTGCTCAATTTCTACATTATTTATTACAAGATTTAATGAAGGTAATCTATACATAGAGTAAGAGCTGATTCTGGTCAAAGAAGCTGCTTGTTTGTTTCTGCGTGCTTGTGGAAGCTGCCAGGGACAGTCATTTGGTGGCTTTGCTGCTCTCTTTATGAGCAATCCACCCTCTTCTATCTCTCTCGCACACGTACATTTACATTTACATCATTTAGCAGACGCTCTTATCCAGAGCGACTTACAAATTGGTGCATTCAACTTATGATAGCCAGTGGGACAACCACTTTTCTTCTTTCTTTTTTTTTTATAGGGGGGTGTGGGGGGGGGGGGGGGGGGTAGAAGGATTACTTTATACTATTTCAGGTATTCCTTAAAGAGTTAGGGTTTCAAGTGCCTCCGGAAGGTGGTTAGTGACTCCGCTGTCCTGGCGTCGTGGGGGAGCTTGTTCCACCATTGGGGTGCCAGAGCAGCGAATAGCTTTGACTGGGCTGAGCGGGAACTGTGCTTCCGTAGAGGTAGGGGGGCTAGCAGGCCAGAGGTGGATGAACATAGTGCCCTCGTTTGGGTGTAGGGTCTGATCAGAGCCTGAAGGTAAGGAGGTGCCATTCCCCTCACAGCTCCGTAGGCAAGCACCATGGTCTTGTAGTAGATGCGAGCCTCAACTGGAAGCCAGTGGAGTGTGCGGAGGAGCGGGGTGACATGAGAGAACTTGGGAAGGTTGAACACCAGACAGGCTGCAACGTTCTGGATAAGTTGTAGGGGTTTAATGGCACAGGCAGGGAGCCCAGCCAACAGCGAGTTCCAGTAATCCAGACGGGAGATGACAAGAGCCTGGATTAGGACCTGTGCCGCTTTCTGTGTAAGGTAGGGTCGTACTCTGCGAATGTTGTAGAGCATGAACCTGCAGGATCAGGTCACCGCTTTGATGTTAGCGGAGAACGACAGGGTGTTGTCCAGGGTCACGCCAAGGTTCTTTGCACTCTGGGAGGAGGACACAATGGAGTTGTCAACGGTGATGGCGAGATCATGGAGCGGGCAGTCCTTCCCCGGGAGGAAGAGCAGCTCCGTCTTGCCGAGGTTCAGCTTGAGGTGGTGATCCGACATCCACACTGATATGTCTGCCAAACATGCAGAGGTGCGATTCGCCACCTGGTTATCAGAAGGGGGAAAGGAGAAAATGAATTGTGTGTCGTCTGCGTAGCAATGATAGGAGAGACCATGTGAGGATATGACAGAGCCAAGTGACTTGGTGTATAGAGAGAATAGGAGAGGGCCTAGAACTGAGCCCTGGGGGACATCAGTGGTGAGAGCACGTGGTGCGGAGACAGATTCTCGCCACGCCACCTGGCGTACACATGCACACTTAAAAAAAGTATTCTGGGGTGAATTGAAATTGACAAAAAAACAAAAAAACATATACTTTATTAAAATAAATGTAAGTTGTTTCAATGATTTGTTAATTTAAATGATTTATGTGATTTAATATACTAAATTGTCATCATATTTCTCTCTACTTAATAATTTTAAGTTACTGCAACAATTTTGCCTCTTGCCTCTGTTTTTAGAGGAATGTGGGTAATTCAAAATGTTTTGAAGAAAAGTATATTTACATATTAGAATTAAGCAGTTTGTTGTGCAAAGAGGTGTACTGGATCATGATGGACGGATATCAAAACCGTCAGGCAAATTGTCGTTCAATGATGAGACCACCCATTCCTTCCATCACCACTCTGAATGATGGAGGCAAATGCAGCTTCCTGCAAGTGGTGGAAAAAGTACCCAATTGTCATACTTAACGATGCCTTAATAGAAAATGACAAAAAAAGTGAAAGTCTAAAAGTATTTTAAATATACTTAAGTATCAAAAGTAAATGTAATTGCTAAAATATACTTAAGTATCAAAAGTAAAAGTATAAATCATTTTAAATTCCTTATATTAAGCAAACTAGACAGCACATGTTATTGTTTTTTAAATGACTTTTGTTTGTATGCATGTTCTGTATGCAGGCTATTATAGTGGCCACAGTGCAGCCTCAGGTTCTGTACTCCCATATTAAATGGCCCTCTAGTGTCCACTTAGAGCACTGCCACCCAGGCAGAGTCCATTGGCTTGTGCATGTACAGATAGCTGGGTCATGTTCATTAGGGGACTCAACAGAAAACGTCTTAAAACGAAAACAAGCATTTCTAAAGTTCAGGTAGTGCCTCGCTCTTTCAGTTTGTTTTCTTAAATTTTGGTGCCTAATGAACGTGACCCTGTATGTGTTTTGGTTCAAGAATGAGATTTAGGGAGAATGAGAGTCATAATACTTTGTGTACAATCTTCACAGAGAATGACAGACCGACATCACTGGTGCCGGATCTCATCGACTACAACATGCCGCTGACCACCACCTATCTGAAGCAGATGAAACTCCAGTGCATGAGTACCAATGAGCAGGTAAGGCCAAGGTGTAGCCTGTACATCAGGGTTCCACAACTGGTGGCCCCCAGGGCTGAATATGTCCCGCAGGGGATTAAAAAAATTATATCCATATATACACTACCGTTCAAAAGTTTGGGGTCACTTAGAAATGTCCTTGTTTTTGAAAGAAAATCACTTTTTTTGTCCATTAAAATAACATCAAATTGATCAGAAATGTTAATGTTGTAAATGGCTATTGTAGCTGGAAACAGTTGATTTTTAATGGAATATCTACATAGGTGTACAGAGGCCCATTATCAGCAACCATCAGTCCTGTGTTCCAATGGCACGTTGTGTTTGCTAATCCAAGTTTATCATTTTAAAAGGCTAATCGATCATTAGAAAACCCTTTTGCAATTATGTTAGCACAGCTGAAAACTGTTGTGCTGATTAAAGAAGCAATAAATCTGGCCTTCTTGAGACTAATTGAGTATCTGGAGCATCAGCAATTGTGGGTTCGATTACAGGCTCAAAATGGCCAGAAACAAATAACTTTCTTCTGAAACTCGTTAGTCTATTGTTGTTCTGAGAAATGAAGGCTATTCCATGTGAGAAATTGCCAAGAAACTGAAGATCTCGTACAACACTGTGTACTACTCCCTTCACAGAACAGCGCATACTGGCTCTAACCAGAATAGAAAGAGGAGTGGGAGGTCCTCAACTGGCAGCTTCATTAAATAGTACCCGCAAAACACCAGTCTCAACGTCAACAGTGAAGAGGCGACTCCGGGATGCTGACCTTCTAGGCAGAGTTGCAAAGAAAAAGCCATATCTCAGACTGGCCAATAAAAATAAAAGATTAAGATGGGCAGTCTGAGATATGGCTTTTTCTTTGTAACTCTGCCTAGAATGTCAGCATCCCAGAGACGCCTCTTCACTGTTGACGTTGAGACTGGTGTTTTGCGGGTACTATTTAATGAAGCTGCCAGTTGAGGACCTGTGAGGCGCCTGTTTCTCAAACTAGACACTCTAATGTATTTGTCCTCTTGCTCAGTTGTGCCCCGGGGCCTCCCACTCCTCTTTCTATTATTGTTGGACATAAAAGACTGTAAAAACACCAGCAAATCAGCTCCAAGTGATTTTAATTTAGGACATCTGTTCCAAAGTATTCCCATGCATAATAGAGAGATATTTGTGATCGTATACAGTACAAATGTAAGCAAGGTTAGAAATTATGTTCTGGTCAAATATTATTATTATTTATGTTTGGGCTTCTTGCGGTCAATTTGCAGTCTATAAATTATTTGTAATTATGTTCCAGCCCCCTCACCATCCGCTGCGGCTGAATCTAGTTGATGATCCCTGGTGTACATTCTGTTGTCCAGAATAGGTGAAGATTAGATGGAAGAGGCCGTCTTCACTGTCATTCCTATCAGGCTCTCTGTGTGCCACACACCCCCTATCCCCCGTCCCTCAACAGCCCACTACCTTCCATCCCCCATGCCAGGTTAGCTATCTGTAAAAAAGCATGGAATCATTCAGGACTGCCAATCAGGCGCACACAGGAAAGTGTGTGCTCGTGAGAGTGTGTTTGTAAGCGTGCTCGCGAGAGTGTGTGTGCGTGCATCTATGTGCGCAAATGAAAGTGTGTGCATGAATGTAAGTGTGTGTGTGTGTGGATGGGCGAGTGTGTACTTGCATGCCTGGTATGATAACCAAGGAGGGAATGGGGTTCAGCTCATTCCAATTAACAAGGACTCGGCAGTCTAATTAACTGAGGTGTGAGAAAAGCATTGGAGTACCAATTTGCAGAGGAATGCCAATATGTCCTGTCGGCTAGACAATGCCGTTCACCTTGCACACGAACAGAAGTAAATGTAGTGTAAATGTTTCCTGTAGGCCGGATCGTTATGTTGTGCTGAATGTTAAAAAATGTTGTAATGTTGTATTGTTTGCTGCGGCCTTCTTGGCCAGGTCTCCCTTGCAAGTAAGTGTACTCACATCTTTGATCCAACAAAATTGTTAATAATCGCCCTAATTACTAACAGTTCACAATTTTACTATGGTTTTCATGTTATAATTGATCTAAGACAAAATGTATCATTAAATTGAGACATGTCCTAAAACGTGATTTTAAACTGTCAAGTGTTTCACTTAAGAATGGGCATGCGTACGCTTGAGCAAGGTGCTCTGCAGGGTCCCCGTCTCCTGACTCAACTAGAACAGAACTAACCATCCTCTGATGGATTGAAAGGCAGGGTGTTGGGCACGTAAGTGCTTGAGATTCAGTTTCAAGTCTAATTCTGGCTTTTAGCTGGAGACAGAAAGATTTTCAACAGCGCAGCAGTACTCACCAGAGGCAGGAAATGAGGAACAATGACTCAGCTATGAAAAAAGGGCACACAGGCAGTGAGGGCTTGGTTTGGAGGGGGTGGGTTAGGGTGAGGGGAGGACGCCAGGGTGTAAGAGGGCACTGAGGAGGGCATTCATTGAATGACCACTCTGTGAAAGAGGTCATGGGCTTTTGTGTGTGTTTTTTTTTTTTTACAGGGTCTGAGCAGAGCAGAGCAGAGCAGAGAGAGAGAGAGAGAGAGAGAGAATGTGTGTGTCCAGCCCAATTCAATAATGGAGGAAATTACCAAGCATCCTTCCTGCAGACGCTGGGCGGTGGCTCTGTCTCTGCCTGCACCACCAGGGGAGGGGGGAGAGAATTAAAGAGGGATGGTTCATTATCGTTTATGGGCTGTTTTCCCATTTATTCTGTCTTCTCCTGAGAAAACTCATTTCGTTTTTGGGGTGGGGGGTGGCAGGGGGGATGGAGAGGCGGGGGTAGGTAGGCTATAATTACTATGGGGCTATAGGAAGATACCGGTTAAAGGAAAGACTACTTTATAAAATGAGGAATAACACCCCCACCTCACGATAATGATGATGAATAAAAAGCAGTCCATTTATAAGATCAAATAAAGAGACAGGTCAGTATTTGCATATTGAAAAAGACAAATGCTGTGGGCAGACAATGTAGATCTCTTACTGAACTATATGCGTTTTATACTGGGGAGAATGTAGCTTATAATCAATGTATTGTGTTGGTCAATGTAACTATAAGGACTGTGATAAAGTGCTTGGTGCTGACCTGCTCTAATATATAGTGGCATTAACAATTTCAAGGGTCTACACTCATATCAATATTCAACATGCTATGAGATGTGTGTTACGGGGTTCGAATGTTTTAAGACAATCGCATTGGATCCAGACAACTCTCGCTCTTCATGGTGAAATTGTGTATTATTGATACATACACTTTCCAGGTTTCGCCTGTAGGTGGCAGAAGTTCCCCATAAATCTGTCTCAAGGTGCGTACATCGCCCTTATCCGCACACAAATCATCTGTTGACTCCCTTTAAAGGGACTCACATGTGGTTATGGTATGCATCTTTTAAAAAGTGGCATTTTAAGACCTTTTTACTCAATTGCTAAAAAGTCCTTCAGAATGAAGGAAGACTATTGTGTGATCAAACCATAGAAATGGGTCAAACCTTAAGGCATATACTTTTCTTTAAATGCCTCCTTTATGTGTAAGTTACTGTAGGCTATTGATAGTTTGTGGATCGCTCTCTTATTTGCCTACACATTTTTTTATTAATTAATTACATATTTCTGTGGTAATGCTTTTAAGTGAAAATATTGAATGTGAAGTTAGGTGTGGGCATTTGTAGAACAAGAAACAAAGCAATTGACTGTACTGTACTCCAGTGTGGGAATTAACAAAGAGAAGAGGGGAGAGAGGAAAGGCAGATGGACGGTGGTAAAATATTTATTTCTAAAGCCGCCAATGACAATTTAAATGGCTTTAGTGAACCCACTCTAAAGCACTGTTGCCTACAGTCCTATTTTGCACGAGGCGTGTGACGTCGGTTACCACTGCCGCTGCCCCGCCTCCATCTTTGGGGCTGGTTGACAGTGCAAGTCTTGGAGGGTCCTGTACTCGCTCCCATACCAGGACATTGTCTTTAGAATTAAACGCAAATAAAGAGACCCGCAAGGTGGAGAAATTGGAGAGGGGTTTGACGTTCACACTTGAAAATTCACAATCAGAAGTGAAGGTAAGCATTTATTTTACATGATACGGTTGTGTTGATATTTTTGCTCTGGTCAGCTGTGCGCTAAGCTATTTTCAGCAGCTTTGGGAAATAATGTTGTGGCAATTACACCTCCCCATTTTTCTGCTTATTAATACCCAAATATACAATAATTTCTAACCAATGAATGACTTATACAAATGGTGTGTATTATTTATTTTCGATAATACCCTTATGCCTTATAGACTTTTTATATAATGCATATACTATATTTTGTATCAATGCAATTATTACGTGTGCTGTAGAAGTGAACAATCTATTCGATCCTCTCACAACTTAAAATGTAATAGTAGGCTATTATAATACCATTCCAATATAAATTAATATCAAACATATATTCCAAGAAGGTACTGCAGCTGTCATCTAACATCGCATATAAATGTGTTATTATCCATCCCTAGTAGGCTATCAATTAAACAATATCCGATGATCACTTGAGTTAATCAACAGAATTGCGTTTTATAAATTGTCCTATGGTGGTCAGTCATCCTTTTCTTTTGATGTAGGCTAGGCAGCAACCGCATACTGTTGAAGTGCATATTTCAGTGCATACTGTGTATCATCGCAGGCCATTCCATATGTCACATTGTTCTCTTGTGGGATGCAGAATTACCAAGCACAGTGGGAACAATCCCCCACAAGTGTGGCGCGTGCGGCGTTCTCACAGCCTATCTACATTGGTACTGTAACCCAATGCCGGTGTAACCTTATCACTACTGTAGGTTACGTACTGTAGCAATTTGCTCCTAATTACCTGCCGAGAAACTTACAAGGCTCGGCAGAATACATTGTAGCTATTAGAATTTCGTGCAGAGGTTTTAAACAATGCAGTGGTCCAATGCTACATTGTGATTGTAGCAGCAGAAGTTCCATTTTGGCTGCAATTTCGATATTCAATGTTAC